ATTTGTAGCAGAAACTGAATTTTTAACACCAAGTATGTGATTTGGTGCTTTTGTAATTTGAGGCCTCTGATTTTAATTAGGTCTAATTTATGTCTGTGCCCATCCTTTTCTCCTATCCATTATCTAATTTTCTTCAGTCTCCTCCTCAGGACCTCTGTCTTAGGATTTACCTTTCATCCTACATCTTCAGTTTTTGTATCTCTGTTGGCTTTTCCTCTTTAGCATATAAACATGCTTATGTTTCCTTCTTTCTTTCCTTTTTTATTTTTTTAAAGATTTTATTTATTTATTTGTTTGTTTGTTTAAAGATTTTATTTACTTATTTGACAGATCACAAGCAGGCAGGCAGAGAGGAGGAAACCGCCCCCTGCTGAGCAGAGAGCCTGATTCAGGGCTCGATCCTAGGATCATGACCCAAGCTGAAGGCAGAGGCTTTAACCCACTGAGCCAGCCCGGCGCCCCTAAAGATTTTATTTATTTATTTGACAGAGAGCGAGCCAGAGAGCACAATTTGGGGGGGAGGGGATGGCAGAGGGAGAGGGAGAAGCAGACTCCCCTGCTAAGGAGGGAGCCCAATGCGGGACTTGATCCCAGGACCCTGGGATCATGAACTGAGCCAAAGGCAGATGCTTAACCAGACTGACTGAACCACCCAGGTGCCCGGCTTCTTTCTTAACAAACAAAATCCTAGTCAGCATCTCACTCTTTGGGTCCTATCATTGGTATAAAGCTTAGAAAGTAATCTTTACTGCTCATGACCTAGTCTTACTGTCTACCACTTACCAGTCACTACTCAACCCTGCCCCTACTATTCCTTTGAAACTCTTGCCCTGATGACTTCCTGGGTGCATATCCAACAGAAGCCGTTTAAGTTCTGCTCTTCCAGCATCTCTTTAGTTTTTAACATCGGACAGTTCTTTCTGCCTATAAAACTTCTCGCACCTTCTGTGCCACTATTCCCCACTGTTCTCCCTCCCTCCTCTCCTTCTCAGGTGGCCGTGTGAGCTTCTCTTTCCCTGCCCATTCCTAAGGATTACCTACTCTAACATTTGTCTTGTTCCTTTTCTCACTATGCCCTCTCTCTGCTGGCTTATCTACCCCAGAAACCTCAGATGCAGGTGCGTTATATGAAATCTGCGGCTCCATCACAGACCCTTCTCTGCACTTATAGACCCACTGTGGCATCTTTCCTTGGCTCTTCCATCTCATGTTCTAACCTGTTTATCTGGGCCCTGCCTGTCTTTCTGAACATGTGTTCTAGAACTTTCCTAGATGTCCTGCTGAACTCTAGCTGCATGGTGCTATTTCTAGTTCTCTGTGGTGATACTTATCTTCAGTCAAAAATGCCCTCCTTTCACACTTCTGTCCTGGTCCAGTGCCTCTTCAGATTTTAAAACTGAGAACTGTGTCATCTCCAGAAAAACTGTCTTCTTCCCAGTTCATCCTGGGTTGGATACCCCTTTCCTGGGCCACCAATGAAGACATTCTGTGCAATACCTCTGCCACAGCAAATTGTGTTGGTTTTTTAGCTGTTTTAAACCACACCTTGAACCCCTTCAGAATGGGACTGTATTTTTCAGTATATAAATGCCCAGCTCCTAATACCTCTGACAGTCCTCAGCAAGCTTTCAGCAAACCACTGAGTTCTCCTGCTAGGAGATTGTTCATGTGATTCTTAAAATCTGCCTAAACTTAAAGGGTGTTTTTCCATTGTTCTTTGTCTACCTTCTGATTTCTATGGCTTATTTATTAGCCCCTCATGATACTTCATATACACTAGGAAAAATGTTAAAATTCAGATTCATCATTTTTGTTGTTTAGGAGCAGCTGTTATACAGTCAGGTTCACACATTGGTTAAGCAATACTACCAGATGCTAGAGTTTTCTTGCTTGTAAATGTTCTTACTAGATCTTACCTCATTAGAATCATGTTGATTCTCTTTAAGGGATTCTTGAAGAAAGCAGGAGATGGTCTTAAATTCAAGCAAACTAGTACTTACTAAGTACTTACTTTAGCCACGTGTAACTTTTATGGAAGGTCCAAAATGATTAAGGACATCTTCCCCCACCTCCAAAGACATTCCCTACCTGTAACTAAGGGCGGAGATTGACTCAGCATAAATGAGTTTTAGTATTAAGTAGACTAAATTAAATGCTATATGATAACAGTTCAAACAAAACCTGTAAGGTATATATGGGGAGGGGCACAGAACCAGAAAAGTAGAGCATGTTCACGGTTTTTTCAACAATGTTGTAGTGTAAAAAGCAGCTTTGGGAACTCTTTTCCCCATTGGCTTCAGAATCCATTATAAACATATTCTTTTTAATGGTAAACCTTAATACAAGGAAGAAAGTAAAAATGAAAGAACTGCTATTAACATTCTGATAAACAGCCCTCCAGCTCTGTGTGTCTAACCATACTTTTATATTGAATGACATTGAATCATGCCACCCACCTTGTTTTATGCCCTTTTATTTAGTGTGTATAGGGCACTTCTCCATAAATGGAAATAGTAGTTAAGATTTTAAAACTTAGACTGCATAGTCCCTTCGGTTAAGCAATTACATTTTGCATATTGATTCTATCAAGCCCTACCTTGGGCTCCCTGCTGAGCCAGGAGCCTCCTTCTCCCTCTCTCTCTCTGCCTCTCTGCCCTACTTGTGCCCTCACACACTCTTGTCTCTCACTTGCTCTCATATACATAGAATCTTTATATATTTTTAAATAAAATCTTTTAAAAAAATAAAAAGAAAACTGATCCTAAAGAAGTAACTACGGGTATGTGCAAAGATTCATTTATGTGATATGTTTCACAACATTATAAAACTGTAGTGGAGGGGGGCGCCTGGGCATCTCAGTCAGTTGAGTGTCCGACTTTGGAGTTTGGCTCAGGTCATGATCGCAGGGTCCTGAGAGCAAGCCCTGTGTAGGGCTCCGCATTCAGTATGGAGTCTGCTTGAGATTCTCTCTCCCTCTGCCCACCTCCCCACTCGTGCTCTTTCTGGCTCTCAAAAATATTTTTTAAAAAACGTTTTAGGGGCGCCTGGGTGGCTCATTCGGTTGGGCGTCTGCTTTCGGCTCAGGTCGTGGTCCCGGGGTCCTGGAATCGAGCCCCGCATCAGTCTCCCTGCTTGGCGGGGAGTCTGCTTCTCCCTCTGCCCCTCCCAGTCTGTCTGTCTCTCTCTCTTTCTCTGTCAAATAAAAAAATAAAATCTTTGGGAAAAAAAAAACCCTTTAAAAAATAAAAATAGTGGTGGAGAAATGTATTTGTTGACATTTAAAGATGTTCATAGGGCGCCTGGGTGACTCAGTGGGTTAAGCCTCTGCCTTCGGCTCAGGTCATGATCTCAGGGTTCTGGGATCGAGTCCCACATCCAGCTCTCTGCTCCACAGGGAGCCTGCTTCCTCCTCTCTCTCTCTGCCTGCCCCTCTGTCTACTTGTGATCTCTGTCTGTCAAATAAATAAATACAATCTTTAAAAAAAAAAAAGATGTTCATAGTGTATCATTAGGTGAACAAATTGGTAACTAAAACAATACATATAGTATGGTTTCAGTTTTGTTTTTAAATTTGTGTATACACCTAGTGTCTAGAAGAAATAACAGATACCAAAATTAAATATCTAGGAGAGGAAATTTCAAGTAGTTTTAAATTTTGTTGGTTTTTGCTCTTTGGTCTTTCTGCTTTTCTATTAAACTTAGGTAGCTTGTGTCATTAAAAAGGGTTTTTTTGGGCCAAGACTAGTAAGATAATACAGCATTGTTTTTAAAATGATTTGATCAATGCTCAGGAAATTTCTTTGCACTTTTTAACCATAGTCTGAGTACTTTAGGCAACATATCAGTGAATCATTTTTTCTTCCTGGCTAGTATTCTAGTGGGCATTTTCCAATAAACACACAGTTTGTGAGTACCCTTCAGAGGCAGGTGCATAGATACTTTCTACAAATAACTGATCTTTCAGATTTTGATTCTTTCATTCTTCTGGTGTCATTACCAAAGGATAATCTTTCATTTTGGGACAGTTCTGCTGATAGCACCTCAGTCTTTGTGACAGCAAACACTACATTATATTGTAGTTGTAGGTTTTTATTTGAGGGAGGGGGTTTGGTCATCTATTTTCCTGGTAGACTATAATATAAACTTCTTGGGAATAAATATTAAGAGATTAAGTCTTTTCATCTTCGTATCTTTAGTTGCCTGACAGAAGCCTAGCACATATCAGATCCTCAAAATATTTGTTGTCTTGTGAGTATTTTTGGTAGCTTAAAGATGTTAAATTCACGGTCAAATCCTTTTGAAGGGGATGATGTTAAATACACTCCTGTTTAGATTGTGATCCTAAAAAATGAATAATTCTTTAGTGTTTTTAGAAAATTTGACTGTTCTTGGGACGCCTGGGTGGCTCAGTTGGTTAAGCGGCTGCCTTCGGCTCAGGTCATGATCCCAGCATCCTGGGATCGAGTCCCACATCGGGCTCCTTGCTCGGCGGGGAGCCTGCTTCTCCCTCTGCCTCTGCCTGCCTCTCTGTCTGCCTGTGCTTGCTCACTCTCTCTCCCTCTGTCTCTGACAAATAAATAAATAAAATCTTTAAAAAAAAAAAAGAAAATTTGACTGTTCTTTTGGGGTTGGCATATCACATAGCTGAAGTACAAAGTTAAGTAGTTCTTCATTTATGAGTGTTTTTTTAGGATTTATTATTTTAGAGAGAGAGTGCGTGCAAGTGTGGGGAGGGCAGAGGAGGAGGGAGAGACAGTCTTCAAGCAGGCTCTGCACTGAGTACAGAGCCCGACGTGGGACTCAATCCCAGGACCCTGAGATCATCAAACTAAGAGACGGACACTCAAAACACCTGAGCCACCCAGGTGCCCCCCCAAATTAAATAGTTTTGAGAGGCAAAAGTTTAAAATGAATTGTAGGCAGAAGTTGGAAGAGACATAAAAAATCGGTGGGCTATTTGTAAAGTTAAATTTATTATTAGTGTATTTTTTTCCTTATAGATCAGCCATTGACACCATGAACTGGAATAAAGGTGGCCCTGGAACCAAAAGGGGATTTGGCTTTGGAGGTTTTGCTATTAGTGCTGGAAAGAAGGAGGAACCCAAACTCCCACAGCAGTCCCACAGTGCCTTTGGGGCAACCAGCTCTTCTTCTGGATTTGGAAAGTCAGCTCCACCACAGCTCCCTTCTTTCTACAAAATTGGATCTAAACGGGCCAACTTTGATGAAGAAAATGCGTAAGTGGTAATTCTGGTAGTTTAGCCAAGGGTAGGCTTTGAGATATTCATTCTATCAACAGAAATTGAGGTAAAAAAACCATTTGTTTCCTGAATAATAATATGACTTCTTTAATTGCTTATCTCACTGAATTGTATTATTCCTAATAAGTTAAATTGTTGAGTTTATTCATTTGTAAGGAACATAATGCTTGTGTGCTTACTTCTTTCCCTATTCCAAAAAAAGATTTGAGGCTATTGAAACCTAAATATGACTGAAGAGTTTTATTTTATTTTATTTTATTTTTAAAGATTTTATTTATTTATTTGACAGACAGAGATCACAAGAAGGCAGAGAGGCAGGCAGAGAGAGAGAGGAAGCAGGCTCCCTGCTGAGCAGAGAGCCCGATGTGGGGTTCGATCCCAGGACTCTGGGATCATGACCTGAGCAGAAGGCAGAGGCTTTAACCCACTGAGCCACCCAGGCGCCCCCGACTGAAGAATTTTAAATAGTACGAGGTTTTGATGGCCTTTGCTGAAGTCTTTTACTGACCCCATGTAAGTTGTTTTGTGACACAGGCAGTTCTCTCAACTGGAGGAGACGCAGTTTGTCAATAGCCAGGTCTTAAAACGATTATGTTGTGACATCTTCTAGTGGGGAAAAAAAATCTACTCGGGTTATTTCCCAGAGTTCTCAGGAAACAAACTTACCAATTACCTTTTTTAACTTCAGTATCTGATAGGGTGGTGGTTATACAAAGATAAGGTTTGAGGGTTTGAGCTCTAATTCCTTTTCTTTTCTTTTTTTTTTTTAAAGATTTTATTTATTTATTTGACAGAGAGAGAGATCACAAGTAGGCAGAGCAGCAGGCAGAGAGAGAGGGGGAAGCAGGCTCCCCGCTGAGCAGAGGGCCCGATGGGGTGCTCGATCCCAGGACCTGAGCTGAAGGCAGAGGCTTAACCTACTGAGCCATCCAGGCGCCCCTGAGCTCTAATTCTTATAGATGATAATTTCTTTGCTGTGTGTGAAGAAATCTCTGACTGCTATTATTTCCAGCCCAGTTGTGAAAAGTTGAGTTGTTTTTTTTGTTTGTTTGTGGGGTTTTTTGTTTGTTTGTTTTTTGTTTTTAATTAAGAGCTCAAGATGGGACACACAGTGGCATTTTTAAAGGCTTGTATGTTGCAGGGATTAAAATGCAGAAGTAGATGTTTAAGGTTTAGCAAAGTCAAGGATCATTATTCTAGAGAGCAGTTTAGCAGTTCAGGGATACTTTTTCTTTTGCTAAATGAAACTTATATAAATGAGTATGTATGTATGTGTAGCAGATGATAGTTGTTAGAGCTTTTATTTTTTTTTTTTTTTAAGATTTTATTTATTTATTTGACAGACATCACAAATAGGCAGAGAGGCAGGCAGAGGGAGAGGGAGAAGCAGGCTCCCCGCTGAGCGGAGAGCCCGATGCGGGGCTCCATCCTAGGACCCTGGGATCATGACCTGAGCCGAAGGCAGAGGCTTTAACCCACTGAGCCACCCAAGTACCCCAGTTGTTAGAGCTTTTAAAATAATTCCCGTGAAGACCTGAAATGCTTTAAAATTTCAAGCTGTGTTTGTTTTTTAGTTAATATTTGGTTGTTAATATTTAATTTTGAGATAAGGTCTAAATAGTGTTTTTATTTTTAGTTTATAAAGAGCTATGAAGTTGTCTTTTCTGAATATTTAAGAAGTGTGGGGAATGATTTTGGATTGAGCATTTATTATTATAATTATTCTCTTAAAGATTTTATTCATTTATTTGACACAGAGAGAGAGAGACAGCAAGAGAGGGAACACAAGCAGGGAGAGTTGGAGAGGGAGAAGCAGGCTTCCCGCTGAGCAGGGAGCCCAATGTGGGGCTCAATCCAAGGACCCTGGGAACACAACCCGAGCTGAATACAGATGCTTAAAGACTGAGCTACCCAAGCACCCCTGGATTGAGTATTTATTCTTAATCCTTGAAGTTTTCTGTCAGTCCTCAGAAAGTAGTCCTCCACAACTTCTGAAGAAAAGTCCCTAGCCTTATGAATATATTGCTGAAATTTTTTTAAGGATTATAAAGAAAGGGGCGCCTGGGTGTCTCAGTGGGTTAAAGCCTCTGCCTTCAGCTTGGGTCATGATCCCAGGGCCCTGGGATCAAGCCCCACATTGGACACTCTGCTCAGCAGGGAGCTTACTTCCCCTTCTCTCTCTCTCTGCCTGTTTCTCTGCCTACTTGTGATTTCTGTCTGTCAAATAAATAAAATTTTTTAAAAAAAGGATCATAAAGAAAAAACTAGGTTTTTAATATTTATACATATATACAAAGGTGGTTTTTTTCCATAGCATACTTTCTTTAGTATTTGCTCTATCTATTCAGCAGTGAAATAAATATGAAGTTTTTACTGAAAACTCATCCCTTTTAACAGAACTGGAAATGTGATTTGAATATACATTGTTGAAATGAGAGAATCTGCTGTGACTGCTTGTTTGGTTTTTTTTTCTTCAATATTAGAATTTTGCGTGTATTAAACAATAGTTTATTTGTCAAAGCCTGGCGGTCTCTAACATGTATAGTTCAGATCTCTTATTAGTAACATAGATACAGCATAATAATTTCTGTTAAAGAATTCACCGACCCCAAATTAAACATTCACTTTACCAGTCATGCCTCTTAATTTTCAGATATATGTATTTTTAAATTTCCAGATATTTTGAAGATGAGGAAGAAGACTCTAGCAATGTTGATTTACCTTACATTCCTGCTGAAAACTCGCCTACCCGCCAGCAGTTCCATTCCAAGCCAGCAGATTCTGACAGCGATGACGATCCCTTGGAGGCGTTCATGGCTGAAGTGGAGGCAAGTCTCTAGGCTGTTTGTTAAGCTGCAGGAGTTAGAGCAGATCAAATTAACCTAGTGTTTCAGTCATTCAGAATTTGGTTTTTGCCCTCTCTTGGGAGAATTTTGCTTTTACACTCTATAGTTTCTTTTTTCTTTTCTTTTTTTTTAATTTTTAAATTTATTTATCGGAAAGCACAAGTAGGGGAAGCAGCAGGCGGAGGTAGAGGGAGAAGCAGGCTCACCGCCAAGCGGGGAGCCCAGCACAGGGCTCAGTCCCAGGACCCTGGGATCTTGACCTGAGCTGAAGACAGACACTTGACGACTGAGCCACCCAGGCGCCCCTCAGACTCTGTAGCTGCTTAAACATATGTCCACATGCCTTGTGGTATTTTCAGAGATGATTGGTGCCTTGAAGTTTGAATAGTGACCCTTGGACGAGGGTAGTTCAAGATTTGCATGTGTATGTTTTAATATTTCTTTGTCTATTCTTAGATGGAATGAACATTACCTCCTTCAGTCTAGCCTTAAAGGCAGTTAAACTTCTAAAAAGTTCAGAAAGGCAATTAAACTTCTAAAAACTTGCTAAAATTATGAATTCTGTGTTCTGTACTTTTAATATTTGTTCTTATTACCAACATTATCAGCATCCTGACCTCCCTGTAGAAATGAAACTTGTAACCACTTTGCTCTTAAAACTCTTCTCACTAGGCTTTTGTGATTTTGCATTTTGTCCTTTTTTTCCTATCTTTTTGACGTTTGTATTTTTTTTTAACCTTTTATTATGAAAAATTTCAGATACATACAAAAGTAGAATAATAAAATGAACTCCCTTGTATCCTTCACCCTGCTTTATCAATTAACAACTTCTGGCCAATCTTGTGTTATCCAACCCCTCTTCCCTCTTTTAAATTGTTTTAAAGTAAATCCCAGGCATCTCATGTCATCCATTAGTAAGATAACGCTTAAAAAACGTAACTACCATATCATTGTACCAATAAAAAATTCATTACATATTCATCTTACTATTATGTTACTTTTATGACCCCCTGCTAATTTCTCAAATACATTGATTCCTATAGTTCTATATATTGATTTGCTATTTTCACTCTCTACATTCCCTGCTGACCTTGTCCACTTGAATTCTGTGTAACTAATTCAAGTCTTCAGTCTCACAGCCTCTATTGTATCAGCTCTGCTTTTCTAAATCATGACCATTTTTACATGGGTGGGGTACCCCTGGCATCTTTTCTTCCTCAACCAGGTTTTTTGTCCTTTATATTCTTAATGCTAGAAGATCAAACGTGTTCATAACTTAACTTCATTTAATCATCAGAATAACAGTGGGGAATTGGCAGAAAAAAATATATGGGAATACAATTAAAAAAAAAATAACAAGAAAACTGAGCCCTGTGATAATTCAAATCCCTTGCCTTAAATCACATTGGTAACTGTGTGGCAGAGCTGGGACCTGGGTATTTCTGGCTTAATAGTCCTGAGAACCTAGCTCTTTCTAGTATGTCCTGGTACTTTTCCCCTTATATGGCAAGTTCTCTCAATCTTTTTTTTTTTTTTTTAAGATTTTATTTATTTATTTGACCGAGAGAGATCACAAGCAGGCAGAGAGGCAGGCAGAGAGAGAGGAGGAAGCAGGCTCCCTGCTGAGCAGAGAGCCCGATGCGGGGCTCGATCCCAGGACTCTGAGATCATGACCTGAGCCGAAGGCAGCGGCTTAACCCACTGAGCCACCCAGGCGCCCCAAGTTCTCTCAATCTTTATAGTCTCTTTTGCACCTCTTCCTTTCTGTTTCCACTATAGTCAGCCTGCTTTACACTTTGATTAACTCTTGTCTGGGTGTAAATTTTCTCCCACCTTCGGTTCTCTGTTTTCCCACTTGTGTGGTGTACAGAAACAGAGTAATTAGACTAAAGCATGTTGTTTGTCACGTTATTCCTTTTGCTCAAAAAAACTGTCACTTCATTGTTTATGAAAAAGAGTCCTTCCAGATTCCTCAGGTACTTGTAAGCTAAAATCTTGAGCCACATCTCATCTCTAAGAAAGGAGGGAAAGAAGGAAAACAATGTAGATGTTTTTCTTTGGCCTAGATGCTTTTTAAACATGTGGGCCAAAATTTTGAAGATTAGAAGATTTTATCTAAAAGTTCAGACTCTTGAAAAGTGGACACTCTGGCAAGACTAAGCCTGCATTCTTATTCTTGCAAGACAAAAGCAGTTTTGTGCGCTAATGGCTGACTGCTTTAGATAGGTAGGGCTTGCTTTTTCTTGTTCACCCTAGGTCTGTCAGTTCCTTTTGTCGTCTCGACATTGAAGCTACCATTTACAACCATTTATCTTCACACTTGTGTTTAGTTTTCTTAGGGTGGAGAAATATTTTTCTGGGCTTAGGTGTCCGTGTGATACAGGAAAAGCTGCAGCATGCTTCTTTAGACTATTCCTGCTTACTAAAGTGCAAGCAAAGCACCTCTGTATCAAAAGAAAATAACTTTTCTTATCCTGGTTTACTTCCTTCGTTGCCAGATTGGTACCCGTTGCTGTTTCCCATCTTGGATTTAGACTAACTCAGATTACCTGCTTCTTAAAGAGTATGCACTTTATAGGTAGCAAAGCCAGAATTCAAGTGCAAATCCCATATTCTTTCTGCTGTGTCATTCCATATCTAAGTTTTTGTAGCACTGTATTTTTGGGATAACACCAGAACTATTCAGAACTTTCATGTGCTTTGCAACATGGTAGTGATTTGGTTCAGTATGTTAAATGGTTCTCTCTGCAAGTAAAGGTGGTAGTGTTTTGTCGTGTTTGAGGTGTCTTATATGGACTTTTACCCCTCTTGGGATACAGACATTTCCCAAAGGGCTGTTTTTCATTTTATCTTGCAATCCCTAGTTTAAATCCCTGGTTTAAATTCAGATTTAATTTTTTGTAATGGAACTTGGTGTAACCCTTTTTGAGTGGGAGTATCCAAGAATAGCCCAGATTTTCCTGCTTCGCATTTCAAGTGGTTGAAACTGTAGGAGAATAAATCTTTTTGATACAATATTATTCTTCAGGGTGGTTTTGGATATCATATCCAGAGGGGTTTTGCTGATTTTTGGACAGACAGATTGGATATTGTCTGATCTTGGAGAGAGTGTTGTTGCCACAATATTGCATTAATCCTTGATCTCAGGTATATTCTTTACTAGAAAATATAAACTTCTCTAGTGTTTGAAGTCAAGATGAAGACTTATTTTAAACCAGTGTTTCAAAAGAGGATTTATGTAGATTTAAAAAAATAGGTTCTATAAATGTTTGTGACCCATTCCTTATGTTACATTGCTTATGCCATCTTCACTTTATATGTAGTCTTGAGTAAGTCCTCTTTATCAGGAACATTTAATTAGTTAGAACACCTGACCATGCCAGGTTACAGTTAGTGACATTTTTTTAAATCAAATTAGAAAAACTCATGTTGCTTTATAACAAGAAATGATAGTGCAGGATGTGTTTTACCTTGGAAAAATTACTTAATTCTTCTGACCTTGAGTTTCACATGTGTAAAACAAAGAGATCAGTGATTATTAATTTGCTGTGTATAACAATTACCTTTGGAAAATGGAAAATACATGCATTTAACTCCACCCCCAAGAATTCTGATTTGGTAGATTTAGAGAAGTGTTTTTCAACCTCGGACTGTCAACATCTGGGGATAGTTTGTTTTGGGGGCTGTCCTGTGCACTGTAGGATGTTTAGCAGCATGTGTAGCCTTTACACACTAGATACTGGTAACAACCCCCTGGTCCCTCTCACCCCCCCGGTCCCGAAGCAACCAGAAACATCTCCAGACATTGCCAGATGTTCACTAGGGACAAATTCACCCCGGGTTGAGAACAGTCTTTCCAAAGTCAGATCCAAAAATTTGCCATTATTTTACTAGCCCCATTAATAGTTTGATATTAATGGTCTTAAGCTACACATTGAGAAAGGCTAGTTTGCCAGAATTTAAGGCCTTTTATAGCCATAATATTTTTTAAGTGACTAGTTAAGCATTTTTTCCTGATTCTTCCATATTTGGTAAATATTGTAGCTAAAAATTATGGAATCCATATATAGCCACATTTTTAGAACATTTAGGTATTTCTCTTTGGAAAAGTAAGTGTCAGAATACAGTTTGATTATATCAAGATGTAACTGTCGAAATACATAGCTAAAAGTGTGATGGCACTTGTTCAAATCTAAAAATCCTTTATAAAGAAATTCCCCTTTGGAACCCTCCTACACTGTTGGTGGAAATGCAAGCTGGTGCGGCACTCTGGAAAACAGTATGGAGTTTCCTCAGAAAGTTGAAAATAGAGTTACTCTACGACCCAGCAATTGCACTACTGGATATTTAGCCAAAGATACAAATGTAGTGATCCGAAGGGGCACGTGCACCCCAATGTTTATAGCAGCAATGTCCATAATAGCCAAAGTATGGAAAGAGCCTAGATGTCCATCAACAGATGAATGAATAAAGAAGATGTGGTGTAGATATACAAGGGAATATTATGCAGCCATAAAAAATGAAATCTTGCCATTTGCAATGACCTGGATAAAACTAGAGGGTAAGCGAAATAAGTCAATCAGAGAAAAGACAGTTATCATATACTCTCACTGATAGGTGGAATTTGAGAAACAAGGCAGAGAATCATAGGGGAGGAGAGGAAAAAATGAAACAAGAGGAAACCAGAGAGGGAGACAAACCATAAGAGAGACTCTTAGGAAACAAACTGAGGGTTACTAGAGTGGAGGGGCTGGGTGGGGTGGCTGGGTGATGGACTTTGGGGAGGATGTGTGCTATGGTGAGCACTGTGAATTGTGTAAGACGGATGAATCACAGAACTGTACCCCTGAAACAAATAATACATTATAAAAAATAAAATAACTTAAAAAAAATTCCCCTTCTCATGTGTTTAGTGGAAACAATTCCATATGGCCTTTTTTTTCACTAGGATCAGGCGGCTAGAGACATGAAGAGGCTTGAAGAAAAGGACAAGGAAAGAAAAAACGTAAAGTAAGTTGTTTTCTTCTCCCTCACAAAGGTTACATGAAAAATGCTAAAGTATTACAAAGCTTATTTCCCCAAAGTTTGTAGAGAAAAATTAAAATACACGAATGTCTTGCCTTGAAATTACCCCTGTATCTTATAATAGAGATGACAAAATCTTTGCATTTGCAGTAATTAAAAACATTGTTTTTGGTAGAATAATATTTAGTGTTTCATTGTAATTTTTTAGTAGACGCAAGAGTGAGTTACAGTGGGAGTTGAAAGAGTGTAATTACTAAAGTTTGGGCTTATTGTTCTGAGTTTTGTCCCATAATTAATACAAAGTCAGTTAATGCCTGCAGAATTAATTATGAGTAAGGTGATTATATCGTAAAAAGTATGTTATCAATAAATAATGCAGACTGGTTTATTTACGGAGTGATATGCTTTAGCAACAAATCAGAACTTGAAATATCTTATTTTCTGGGAAAGCGAATTCTTCTCTTTCCCCTTGCTGAATACACTCCTCTTAAGGCTTCTTCTTACCAGGCACAGGTGGGCATGGTTGCACTTACCCTCTGCTTGCAGTCAGTGCCTCAGGCCCTCGCCAGGGTTCCTGTGCCACATGGAGGTTCAGCCCTCACTTTGGTGCTTACTGTGTGTTACATCCTCTTCCAGCTGCCCTACGCTGGTGACGTTGCTTGCCTTGAGAACAGCAAGTGCTCTAGGTTAGGTGGAAAGTCTGTTAGAAACAGATGGTTGTGGGAACTACACAGCCATACTCTCTGTAGCAGCTGAGAGATGCTGCAAGTGGTGACACCCCCTCCTCCATAAGAACTGCTTGGGAGTTTTAGTATCAAACTTAAAAAAGAGTTGAGGTAGTTCTTCTCTGTCCGCAAGGATTTTGGCTGAATCCAGTTACTCCAGAGCTAGAAACTCTGGGGGACAGTAAGAAAATTGTGACAGTCTTTTTAGTGTATACCAAATAGAGGGTTTTGGCCTTTTCTTTTTCTTTTTTTAATTTTTTTTTTTTAACAAAATGCAGTTTCTTTTAAAAATGCCTTTCACAACTGCGCTGTGTTTGTCTTACGGGGTTTTCAAGGCTAGGATCTTTGGGTATCTATCTTCAAAGGTTTTTACTCTTTATATCCTCATTAGTAATTGATGTTTCTAGGGTACCATATCATCCCATTCAGAAGAGTGCAAAGTGCAGCTTTCAGGGTGAAGGCACACATACATGCTGAATGGATCGTGTACAGTGTGCTTATTGCTGCTTTGTTATTGTTAGTGTTGAGAGTTCCTGTGCTGTATGGAATTCAACACTAACTTGCTATAAGTATGGAGCTGGGTATGTGGAACATTTGCAGGGAAGTTTGTTTCTCCGCTTGTTTTTCCAGGGGTATTCGAGATGACATTGAAGAGGAAGATGACCAAGTGAGTTCCTATGCAGTATTTCTATCTTTTATTTTCACCCCACAAAGTCTGTATTGGGGACAAGCTAGAGGTTGCCTTCACTGAAATGGCCATTCCTGACAGTGAGCAGGGAATGTCATGTGACTTGCTCCTTTTCTACCTGTATGACCAATTGGTAATAGAAAAATTCACATAGCTTTCCCCCATGTTGAAGATGGAACTGTTCATCAGCCATGACATCAAAAACAAATATGAGCTTTATTCAGCTTGATTTTTTTTTTTTCCAAAATTAAATGTTTATGCTTCTAAGTCAAGAAGTAGTGTGGGATCTTCTGATGGCCTCTAGCAACATCTAACCTTTACCTCTTTCTAAGGGTTCTGATTGTGATTCTTATATTTCAAGATGGAACATTAGTTTAATGACTGTCCTTCAGTAATTTTCTTCCCCATTGTTCAGTTGTGGGATGGTGAGAAGGGAACCAGAGTGAGCAGTAGCCCTTTCCAGGTTTGTGAACCTTCTAAATCAGTGTCAACTTCCAAACTTGGATTGGTCAGTCCACAGCATGTGTTCCACAGCTCTGGGCAGGGTAGGTAGACACCCCACCCCAGGAAGGCTGCGGGATAGACAGCTTTGTAAGTCTTGTTAAACAAGTTAAATCATTGTGTAGTACTAACTGTCTCATTCATTTCTTTTGATTGTCCCTCTGAATACTGCTGTTGTTAAAGGAATAATTGCTAGTATAAGTCTTGCCTTACTTGGTAGGTATTTAAACTGTGTGCAGTCATCTGGTACACTGTGTGCACTAATTACAGGAGCGGAGATGTTCTTAGTTGTATTTGGGTGTGATTATGTTCTTGTGCTTTCCTGCAGGAAGCTTACTTTCGGTACATGGCAGAGAACCCAACTGCTGGTGTGGTTCAGGAGGAAGAAGAAGATAATTTGGAATATGACAGTGATGGAAATCCCATTGCACCTTCCAAAAAAATCATTGATCCTCTTCCTCCCATTGATCATTCAGAGGTATGGTGTTTCTTGCTGAATTTGATTCTTATTTCAAAAGCCAATAGTTGCCTTCAGCTTTAATACCTAGATTTTCTCAATATCTCAGTAATCCTGATTCATACTCCTTATGTCATGAAAGTATTTGTTCTTTGGGATCTTCCCATCTCTGCTAAATGGTCAAGTCAGGAAGTGAAGCTTATGTTGTTCAAGACACAGCTGAATCGCTCGCTCCTGTTTGATTTTAGGCTAAGAATTTTTTTCAAGCAATTGTACTTGTTTTCCAGACCATCATTTTACCTTTCAGAATGGGTCCTTGGGCCTGCATTTGGCTTTTAATTGCTGTAAATCTTTATTGTTTCTCTCAGATCTGGGGCAGATGAGCAGCTGTTCCTTCAAAGTGGAGCCAGGAATTATAGTTTCCTTAAGTCAGGAAAAAGAGAATGAGAATAAGGATATCCGTATACCCACTTGAAAAAAAAAAAGTGTTTCATTCAGGTTAAATATCAGACGAGGTCTTGCATACCTTAATCTAGATCTAGAATGGTGGTTCTCAAAGTGTGGTCCAAGGACTCCTACAAGGATCTTTTCAGGGAGTCTGAAAAGATTATTATTAGTAGTAGTAATTATTATTATATTAATTATTATTATAATTACATAATATAGAAAATATATATAATTTTATAATAATAATAATTACTATTATTATTATTACTTTCATAGTAATGCCAGCATAATTTGCCTCTTCCAGCACATCAGTATCTGCATCGATAGTTAAAAGCACAGGTAGGTCGCATTCCTGAAACTTTAGCCCGAATGAATCAAGGCAGTGTTATCAGCTTGTCTAGTAGTGGTAATACTCTTCCCTGCCACACCCTCACAGTTTAAAAAAAAAAAAAGGCCAGCTTCACTAAAGAAAATCCTGGATAAAACGGTAAAAATTATGATTTATTAAATCTTTTTTTTTTTTTTTTTAAGATTTTACTTATTTGACAGAGACCACAAGTAGGCAGAGAGAGAGAGGGAAGCAGGCTCCCCGCTGAGCAGAGAGCCCGATGTGGGGCTCAGTCCCAGGACCCTGGGATCATGACCTGAGCCAAAGGCAGAGGCTTAACCCACTGAGCCTCCCCTGGCTCCCCTGATTTATTAAATCTTGACCCTTGTGTTCTTTTTCTTCTGTGTGACAAAACGAGAAGTACAAATAAAGCATTTCTGTTGGATGCCAGAATAGGATAGTTGTCTCTAGGGTAGGCACTTAGGTGTTTTGAGTTGTAAGCTGACCTAGCTGCTTTTTTTTCATGGAATACCATTTTCTTTTGAGAAAATGAATGACTTCTCAAGGGAAACAGTTGAAAATGTTTATTGCCAGTGATAGGAATTCAAGCTTTCAAGCGAAAATTAAAATTTGGGAAGCTTCTGTTCACAAACTTCTATTCACGGAGCTTTCCAATACTTAATGAAGTTAACGAAGTTGTAACGAAGTTGATAGTGATAAACAAGTATGATTTTTTTTTATTGTATCGTGAAATGTTTTACCATGTGGATGATTTGCATACTACCTCAGTGAACCAGTATTTTCAAGTATACAATGCATGATTTTACGAGATTGTGCATGAGTAAAGGCTTCATTCAAAATGTATGATAGACCCATGGATTATAATATAATAATGTGAGAATGTAATTTATGTGGTGTCAGATTATACAATGAAAATCTATTTTAAGAAGTGACCACTTGTCAAGGCTCAGTGTACTATCAAAGAAGTAAAAATCCACCAGAATTTGAAAAGACTATTAAAAATAAATGTCTCTTCCCTTTCTAATTACATATCTTTGTGAGGCCAGATTTTCTTCTTAGGCTTCAATCAAAGCAGTATATTGCAACAATTTGAATATAGTAGGGACCAATTTTTTTTTTTTAAGATTTTATTTATTTATTTGACAGAGAGAGAGAGATCACAAGTAGGCAGAGAGAGGAGGAAGCAGGCTCCCCGCTGAGCAGAGAGCCCAATGCGGGACTCGATCCCAGGACCCTGAGATCATGACCTGAGCCGAAGGCAGAGGCTTTAACCCACTGAGCCACCCAGGCGCCCGGGACCAATTTCTTTTAAGTCAGACATAAAGAGATATATAAAAATGTAAAACAAGGTTATAACTTTATTTTTTTTTCCTCAAAGATTTTCTGTATTTATTTGACAGACAGAGATCACAAGTAGGCAGAGAAGCAGGCAGAGAGAGAGAGGAGGAAGCAGGCTCCCTGCTGAGCAGAGAGCCCAACTTGGGGCTCGATCCCAGGACCCTGGGATCATGACCTGAGCAGAAGGCAGAGGCTTTAACCCACTAAACCACCTAGGCGCCCCAATAACTTTTTTTTAAAGTAAAGCTTTTATGTTATAGTATAGTGGTGTGTTACTGTTTTTAAATGAATAAATCTTAAAGAATTTTCTCAATTTTAATTTTAATATGGTAACTGTCAGCAGATAAAACCCACATAAGCAAAAGCTCATTGTGTTTTTGATAAGTGTAAAGGGCACCTGAGACTAAAACATTTGTAGAACTACTGGTCTAGACTAGAGTATGGGTTATACTCAAACTTTTAAATGTTTCCTTTTGCACAGATGCTACCAAATAATGCCTTGGTATTTACATGTGGCAAATGAAACTAAAAATGTGACACTAATGTGGGAGGAAGCATCCATGATAAGATAAAGGATGAAAATCTAATAAGAAAAAAAACACAAATACTTGAAATAATCATCTAATAAGATGTTTGAGATACTTGACGAAGCTGTCAAACCTCGTCATCGTGCTGGGGTAGCGCACAGTTGTCCCATGTAGTGCGGGCAGCCTGCCAGGAGAGACCTGAAGTAAAGAAAGGATAGCCTTTCTGCTTCTGTGTAGCTTTCTTCACATTCGTTTCATGTATTTATTCATATATTTGTTATTTTATTCATTTCATACATATATATAACAAAAAATAACACATTTGTATGTACAGTTTGTGAACGAAGACAATTCTGCCCTCAGGGAGCTTCCACTCTGAAAAAGAGAGGAGAACTGAGGAAAATCCTGTTGTTGTTTAGTGCAGCCTGGTGGGGAGTATAAAAGGTTCTACCTGTTTGTAGTGCTAAAGGAGAACTTTTTTAAAACGTTCTTACTTTTTTGTTGATAATACCATAGAAAGGTAATTTTAGGCTATATCTAGAATTAATGTAATTTTATTGTAGACCACTTAGGTGGTTAAAGAGAATCATTTAACCAAATTTAGTAAGTGGTGATATGCTTATTTTTATAGTCTCAGTACAGTAAGTTGTAAAAAGAGTAGCAGGAATGACTTCTTTCCTCTTTGGAATCGGAAATGCTTAGCCATACATTTTTTAAAAGTTATGTAAAGATTTTCATGTTTTTAAAAAGAATAGAACTCCCTCTAAAGGCAGAGGTCTCCTCATAGGAAATATTAGAAATGTTTTTAAATGTTAGAGCTAGGTGAACAGCTTATTCCAAAGCATATTTAAATGTATAAAGTGGAATGTCTTTAAAACACTTGTCCTCTAAAATAAAACTAAGACAAAATCAGAAAGGGAGACAAACCTTGAGAGACTCTAAACCATAGGAAACAAACTGAGGGTTGCTGGGCAGGGTGGGGGTGGGGTAACTGGATGATGGACATTAAGGAGGGCCTGTGATGTAATGAGCACTGGGTGTTATATAAGAATGATGAATCACTGAACTCTGCCTCTGAAACTAATAATACACTATATGTTAATTAATTGAATTTAGATTAAAAAAAAATAAATACTTGTCTTCTGAGGCCTTTGGCTATGTAGAGATTCCTTAATCTGCATCAAGGTGGTTCACATCTGCGGTGTCCTTTAGGAGTCTCTTTAGGAAGTAGGGTGTTGTTTATTTTGAAAATGGAAATTGGTAAAGATACTGGCTGTACATTTGGGATGTGTGTCATGAATAAGTGAATTCCTTTGTCCTCTTGCTGGTTAAGGCTTTACTTACATAATATGTGTAAAAGGTTATTTTGCATTAAAATCAAACTTACAGGATTGACTCTTGAATTCTAGACTAACTTTGAATAATTGGACCTGCAGATTGACTATCCACCATTTGAAAAAAATTTTTACAACGAGCATGAAGAGATAACCAACCTCACCCCTCAGCAGCTAATAGATCTCCGTCATAAGCTCAATCTTCGGGTAAGTCGATCATTAAGCCAAATATTCTTTTTTTTTTTTCTTTTAAGATTTTATCTATTTATTTAAGAGAGGGAGCACACAAACAGGGGGAGCTGCAGAGGGCGAGGGAGAAGCAGACTCCCCACCAAGCAGGGAGCCTGATGCAGGGCTCGATCCGGGGACCTTGGGATCGTGACCTGAGCCGAAGGCAGATGCTTAACCAACTGAGCCACTAGGCTCTCCTAAGCCATATATTCTTAAATTAATATTAGTTAGCCCAGGGTTAGTAGTATCATTTATCCAAACTAAAATAACCTTCTTTTCTAATGGTCCTTGGACTGTCTTTGATAGAGTAATAACTATATCCTTTTAGGCTCCTATGTCTTGATTTTTATTGTTTTAGTCTTCCAGCTCTTTTAGGATAGGATTGTTTTTTCTTTAATGCAACACATGTGAATGCCATATATATGTTCAATTTTGTATCTTGCGTTGGAATAAGAAGTCATTGTGACCTTAAAATTAGTCAGGAGGTGTTTCTGCAGTGAGTACCTTGTGCTAGGAACTGTGTTAGGCAGGCTGGTAATGAAGGGGCTAAGAGTCCCCATCAGGAGGGAGAGACAGGATTAATAGATATAAACAATATATGAAGTCTTAGAATATTTTAAAATTAAGACATCTCAAATTATATGTAGCACACTTTTTTAAAAAATTAGAAGAAATTAACACCTTAAGTATGCACTGATTTCAGAATAATAGTTTTTTGTTTTTTTAAGATTATATTTATTTATTTATTTGATAGAGACAGGGCGAGAGAGGTAACACAAACGGGGAGAATGAGAGGGAGAAGCAGACTTCCCACTGAGCAGGGAACCCAATGCAGGGCTTGATCCCTGGACCCCAGGATCATGACTGGAGCCTATGGCAGACGCTTAATGCCTGAGCCACCCAGGCACCCCAGAATAATGGTTTTTAATTGCCAAAAATGTTTGGGTTGCACATTGACCACATTGTTTCAGGTATTGCTAGATGTTAGTTAAATGAAACACACAGATAATACAGTAATATCTTCTCTAGGGTAGACAGCTTTCTGGCCTCTGTCTGCCTTGCTAATTTCTGTGTGATGTTTGAACCTATTTTCCGAAAGAGGATGTGTGCATATGCATGCATTGCCTATTTTCCACGGGTAACCTACACCCCCAGCCCCCCCACCAAAACCTTTTAAGTGAAATCCTGATTAGACATTATCAGTATTAGAAGCATTGCAGAGTTACTACTGTTGGAGTCAAAATGGAGGTTAGAAACCCCATTCTTCACCTGGGTATAGTTTGAACAGTGTTTGACAGTAGCTGGACCATCATTAAGTGGGACACTAGCTCTTTAGGCAGAATTGAGAATGTAGACAATAAATAGTAACCAGTGGGTATAGACATGTCTTGTTTGGAGTTATTTGCACTTTCATTTTATTTCAAGAGTATATTTTATTTTTTTCTACCATCTGGTTAATAGTTACGCACAATGACAAAAAAAAAGTATTCATGACTTTTTCCAATTCATTGAGCAATATTTTTATTTCTTACAAGAAAATTCTGATTTAAGAGATTTCTAGGCACTTAATCATTTAAATGATATGACAGTTATCTCAGGAATATTTATAATGGAATTTTTTATGTAAGGCTTTAGATCTATTATTACTTGGGTTATACCTTTTCAAACAGTATGCACTTTTGACCACAGACTTCTGTTTTCTCTTGTGTATACTGAAGTGAAGTACAAAGTGCAGGTGAACACTGTTGAACTTCCAGTGCTGCTCATTTTGAAGTAGGAGTCACTCCTGGGAGTTGTCTTTATTTGTAGGTCTCTGGTGCTGCGCCTCCTAGACCGGGAAGTAGTTTTGCTCATTTTGGGTTTGATGAACAACTTATGCACCAGATTCGGAAATCTGAGTACACACAGCCCACTCCAATACAGTGCCAGGTAAGTAAAGTGTAATGAAAGAACAACAAAGCAGGATGATACTCAGTGACCATGCTGATTTTACAAACAAGTCAGAGCAGTAAAACAGCATGTAGTCCAAAATTATATTGGCATAGATAGAAGGTATCTAAATATTTCATCTGTGGCTTAGTCTCCAAATTTTGCTTGGAAAAAACATAGATGAAATCCAAGAGTATTTTTGAAACATTTAAAAATTAAAGAATAAAAAAAAAAATTAACAAAAGTATATTACTGACCATTCTAAGATGTTGCTAAAATGGCTGGGAAATATTCTTTTGTATCTGCTAAATATCTTGAAAATATGACCTGAAGAAAGCAGTTTTTTAAATAAACATAACGAAAAAGATTTAGGTGTAGACAAGCACTGCTAGTGACTAAGATTCTTTTGTCCGTGACCTGAAAATTCTCATTTATAACTGGAAGTAATAACTTCTGTTTTCCATTTATATATGGGATTTATTCATTCCTACACAGAATATGAGAATTTTCTGTATATGGATGAGTAAGCTAGTCTGTACCTTCTCAAGTGGTAATTTTTCTGATTTTAGCTACCCACTTACATTATAAATTGCAGTTTTTTATTTCTGTATCTCAAGCAAAATGGTCGTTCATATTTTGCAAACCGTGGCTGACCCACATGTAGAGAATGATAATATTATTTGCTATAAATCAAGCAGTTTATGGAAATGCCAGGTATTCCTTGTTATTTTATAGCTAATGTGCATGACCTATCAGGATATTTTTGTTTCATTGGAAATGAATGTCATTAGTTTCCCTAGGATTTCCTTCAGTATGTCTTTCAAAGTGAAAGTTTAGAGTGGATATACTTTATTTTTTCTCTAGGGTGTGCCTGTGGCATTAAGTGGTAGAGACATGATTGGTATTGCCAAAACAGGCAGTGGGAAAACTGCAGCATTTATCTGGCCCATGTTGATTCATATAATGGACCAGAAGGAATTGGAACCAGGAGATGGACCAATTGCAGTGATCGTGTGTCCTACTAGGGAGCTCTGCCAGCAGGTGCGTGCTTTGTGTAGAATGCCCCCTTCTGTGTGTGAACTAGGAAGGGACTAGTCAGTCGAGAGGGTAGAATTAACTGGGAAGCTTCTTCAAAATGTGGTGAAATGTGCATAAAATTGATCATTTTAATCATTTTTTAAGTAAACATTTCCATAGTATGGAGAACATTCACATTGTTGCACTATCAGGAAACTTTTGGAAAATACTGTGTTCCTATGTATTTTCCATATGACCAAACACATATTTTTCCCTAAAAATGTTGAAAGAGAAAAAATATTTGGGAATTGCTTGTATTTTAAGATCCCAGTGTTTTCCTCCTGGGTTAATTCATTTTGCTTGGGTAGAAAGGCAATGACAAGGTCAGGAAGAAAAGTTTAAAAGAAAAAAAAGAATAATCAAGACAGGTTTGCAGATAGCCTGTTGGTGCTCTGTTCATTTCTTTATGAATAAAAATGTGATTTTAAAGCATTTTCTAGCTTTTGATTTTCTATGACATCACATTCTCTGGGTTTTTTTTTTTGTTTTTTTTTTTGTTTTTTTTTTAGAACTCCCTTTTGGGTATTGGTCAGGGTCCTGGTTTGTTCATGTCATTATGTCAACAACTTTGCAGATCCATGCAGAATGTAAGCGGTTTGGGAAAGCGTATAATCTTCGATCAGTCGCCGTATATGGAGGAGGAAGCATGTGGGAGCAGGCCAAGGCCCTTCAGGAGGGGGCAGAGATTGTTGTGTGTACCCCAGTAAGTATGTCTTGGGTTCAAGTGGCTTATCAGCCATTCTTGGTATGGAAAGGTGTTGGTTATTGGATGGAATGGCCCCTAAAATGTGGTAAAGCAGGGTCGAGAATACTCTGATAATCACAGCTTGTGGCTTTGGTTTAATTTTGATTGGGTGCCTAGATTAGCAGTCTGTTAAGACTGTCTGACATATATGTTAGTAGCTATAGATTCCCCTGTTTCAGCCTTTTTTTTTTTTTTTTTTTTTTTTTTTTTTTTTTTTTTTTTTTTTTTTAAAGATTTTATTTATTTATTTGAGAGCGAGACAGTGAGAGAGAGCATGAGCGAGGAGAAGGTCAGAGGGAGAAGCAGACTCCCCATGGAGCTGGGAGCCCGATGTGGGACTCGATCCCGGGACTCCGGGATCATGACCTGAGCTGAAGGCAGTCGTCCAACCAACTGAGCCACCCAGGCGTCCCTGTTTCAGCCTTTTTTACTGCTTTCCTAGAAAGTGGATCTGTGGTTACTTGAGACCATCAGGAATCAAAAAGAAGATGATCTTTGGACCGTACAATTTGGAGTTTGGTCATAGTTCCTAAAAGACTATAGTCTAAATAAAAAGCTATCAGAAAGGTCCTAAATTAGGTTGTTTTAGAAAGCCCCACAGAATAGTTCTGGCCATGTTCCCACAATTGTGTTTTCTTAATTTTCTGTTCTTTTAAGCTCTGTAGTGCATAAAGTCCCAAGTCTGTCCGACCCAGTGTCTGTTACATTCGACAGCTAGAGTATTAGCACTTTTGCCAGGAGTACAATTCTAGAAAGTTCTTGTAAATGCCTTTAATTATACTTCCTATTCATTTTCTGGATCTCATAGGGACGACTAATTGATCATGTGAAGAAGAAAGCTACCAATCTTCAAAGAGTCTCTTACCTTGTGTTTGATGAAGCAGATCGCATGTTTGACATGGGATTTGGTATGCCTTTGGTAGTTTCTTCTGTCTACGCCTTCACTTGTTTTTTTCTTGTCTTTCTAGACTTAGCATTTTCTTTTTGTATGAGAGATGCTAAAAATACTCCTGTATAGGATTAGACCATAGAGATAGAGCTAAACCATTAACTATTTTTAGGCATTCTCTCAGGAAGTATGTTAGGCTTGACAGGGTTACAGACATTTTGAAAGTGCCTTTGTGTATAGGGAAAATATTTTCTTTATATTTTTATTCATATGACTTTGATTGTGGAGGTCAGGGTCTATGTTCTTAGGTAGTAGATGTCATCATTTTAGGCTCCTTGCTTTCCTGTCCTCCCAACTTAACCAGCTTTGTGGAAATTCTGAATAACTCATCTTTATTGATGGAAACTACTGGGCCCAGCTTAGCTGGGTGGAGGGGAAAGGATTTCTGGGTTTCGTCCTGAATGATGGGCCTAGGAGTTTCACATTTTCTTTAGTAGTTATAACTCCTCATATGGATATTTTTACTAAAATGACTTTTTCCTAGACATCCCAAACCATCATATGGAGTTACAATGTTAATTTTACTGTTTTACTTTTTCCAGAGTACCAGGTGCGATCCATAGCAAGTCACGTCCGTCCTGACAGACAGAGTATGTATGAAGCAGTTTTATTAAGTCACATTTGTATTCAGAATAAACATCCCTGTATTTTATAGACATTCACAGTATGGCAGCAAAAATGATCATGTGGGTACTGGTGAGAACCATAGAGGAGGAGATAAAAAGTTGGAGTGGCACAGAACCTTAGAGATCATCAGATATAACTCACTCGTTTTTGTAGATGATAATCCAAGCCTGAGAATTAAATGACCCAAGTTACATGGGTTTATCAGCGTGTAGAGTTAAAGCACAGTGCAGGGCTGCTGACTGGAAGTCCGAGCCTTTTCGAACCATGTTGACAGTCCCTGTCTTAACTGTGAATGTATAAAAATGGAAAAAGGAAAATCGTTTTTTCCTTAGTGAATCAATTTTGAAACTAAGTTTTAAAAGTTCAGGTGGGTTTATTTTATAAAACTGAATTAATTCTGAGTATCAGTGGGAGGCTTAGTGGGTTTTCAAAAACGAAGTCACTGTTTCTTTAACAGAATTTGCTTCACCTTTTAGCTCTCTTATTCAGTGCAACTTTTCGGAAAAAGATTGAAAAACTGGCCAGAGACATCCTGATCGACCCTATTCGTGTGGTGCAGGGAGACATTGGAGAGGTAACGCTAATAATTAGCAAGGCTAGATTATTATAGGTTATTTCTCATATTTGGGAAACATGGAATTAGTTTTCCACTATTGTGAGGAAAAACACAACACTATGTGCTTATGTATTTATAGATGAGGCAGTGTAATTCAGATTTGTTTTAAAAAACACAAGGTTAGGAGCATAGATGAGACAGCTAGATTTTAAAAATACGGATAATTGTTGAAGTCGGGTGATGGGTACATAGGAGGTGATTATGTTCACTTCATTTTTTTGGAATGTTTAAAATTTTACGTAATAAAAATTAAAAACTTTTAGCAGGGAGAAAAAGTGGGCTTTGCCTGGAAGACAGGCTAGAACAGACATTTAAAGTGATTGTAGGAGGAGCAGGATGACTTGAAAGGCCTCGTGAAAATGAGTTCGTGGAATTTACCTTTCCATATGCCCTGTGTGGAAAATTTGGGTACCTTGAGAGTTCCTGAAGTTGCTTTGCCATGTTTATTATTAAAGTTCTGTGCATTTAGCTGGTGTTACGACATTATCTGCTTTTCATTTTTGAGTGTTTTCTATGTGTATATGAATTGTATTAGGAGCAGTGAGTGGGAAGGAGAGAAAAGGAATTTAATTTATTAGGAATAAATAATCTGAGTTTCTTGTAACACTGTATTACAAAGTATTGGGGCTCATGAATAGTTGGGTAGAGCACAGTGACTTGAGAAGGGAGGTAGGTTTCGAGCTGCACTTGAGTTGCTGAAAGAAAGCCTGAGGAGAAGAGGGGTGGTGGAAAGTGATGTCTGGTCCTTGTTCGGGAGCCTTTTGGCACAAATGTCACAGTCCTCTTTCTTCCTTTTCAGGCAAATGAAGATGTGACACAGATTGTGGAAATTCTCCATTCTGGGCCTAGTAAATGGAACTGGCTTACCCGGCGTCTGGTAGAATTTACCTCTTCAGGAAGTGTTCTCCTGTTTGTTACTAAAAAAGCCAATGCTGAGGAGCTAGCCAATAACCTTAAGCAGGAGGGTCATAATCTTGGGCTGCTTCATGGGGACATGGATCAGAGTGAAAGAAACAAGGTCATTTCAGACTTTAAGAAAAAGGACATCCCAGTCCTGGTGGCCACAGATGTTGCAGGTAGAGTAAAACTTTTCCCCAGTGACCTCATGGCCCTGCGCTGTAAGGGTGCTCTGTCTTGCCGCGTAGGAGCTAGAACACGGGGGGTTTCTCGGGGGCTCAGTCCATTTAGCGCCTGCCTTTGGTTCAGGTCATGATCCCAAGGTCCTCGGACCGAGTCCTGCTTTGGGCTCCTTGCTCAGTGGGGAGGCTGCTTCTCCCTCTGCTTGTACTCCTTCTCTCTCACAAGTAAATAAAATCTTAAAAAAACAACAGCTAGAGCACTGAGCAGGCTGGCAGAGGTGCTCTCCTGGTCTGGCTGGCCACCCCCAAGCAGCTCAGACGGTAGTGACCAAACCTGGAGCTCTGGGTACCACGTTCCCTTAATGTTTCTCTTTGAAGAAAGAATCTCTGCAGTTAGAAGATACTCAGGGAAAAAACTGTGGAGCCGGTTAGACCCTAGACCATCTGCCTTTGTGGTGCGTCTTGACATTAACTGGGCATGCTTCACTCAAGACCGAAAAGTTCTTTGAAGTTGATTTTTGGCTTTATTCTCGGTTTGGGGTTTGTTTTTTTTTTTAAGATTTTATTTATTTGACAGGCAGAGAGGCAGGCAGAGAGTGAGTGGGGAGGCAGGCTGCCTGCCAAGCAGAGAGCCTGATGTTGGGGTCGATCCCAGGACCCTGGGATCATGACCTGAGCCGAAGGCAGAGGCTTTAACCCAGTGAGCCACCTAGGCACCCTGGCTTTATTCTCAGTTTTAATAGTTGCCTTTAAAAAACTGGTATTTTCTCCAAAAAGGAAATAATTTCTCAGCTTCAAGCCAATTTGATGCTGGCTTTCATCATTTTACATATTCCTGGTGCAAGAGTGAGGCCATGGCGGGTTACTGATGTCAGAAGGCCTGTGTCCGTCAGCTAGACAGCCTGGCGTCAGAGAGTCAACGATATTGACATTTGCTCTAGAAGGGCAACTTAAATGCTTGGATCTTACCAGCTCACCACACCATGCACTTTGCCTAAATAAAAGGAATGTGGGTTCTTAAAGGACCAGCATTTTTGGTTACTTCGATTTTTTGACTCCTGCTAAAGGATAAAAGAATTTGGGTGTTTTTATTTCAGCCCGTGGTCTGGACATTCCTTCAATTAAGACTGTCATTAACTATGACGTGGCACGAGACATTGATACTCATACTCACAGGATTGGCCGCACAGGACGAGCGGGTGAGAAAGGTGTGGCCTATACCTTACTGACCCCCAAGGACAGCAATTTTGCTGGTGACCTCGTCCGGAACTTGGAAGGAGCCAATCAGCATGTTTCCAAGGAACTCCTCGATCTGGCGATGCAGGTGAGTGGCAGAGTATACTAAAGATGGTTCCAGGTTCTAAAACTACTAAAACACACACACACACACCAGAAAAAAAGCCTGAGGAGCTAACATAGACATATGACAGAAAAGTTGCAGACATGTGTAGGGGAGTCCTTAGGGGCTACAGATCCGTATTGTAGGACATTAAAATTCATCTGGTCTGTCTTCTTTCAGCAACATTGATTTGAAAAAAACTTTTTCCTTTTTGTGTGCTAAAATCTGTCTCTCTGAAATTTCTGCCTGCTTGCCCCATACCACACTTATAAGTTTAATCTCAAAGATGGGTGTTTTCCCCTTCCTGTCCTTACTCCCAGTCTTCATCTTGAGGAGTTAAAAATGTGTGATGTCTTAAGAAAATATGATGTATTTAACTGTTTCTCATAGACTTAGGTCTAAGACCTTTAACCACTTTGATTACCAATCTAAAACTAAGCTAGGCATTCTACTGAAGTAAATCCTGAGTCATCTTAATATATGTAGTCCCCAAATTACAAATGGGTTCAGTATACACATTTTGATAGTAGAGACTTACGTCTTTTTTAGAGTCCCAAGTCAGCGCACAGAATAGTCAACCCGTCCTGCACTTGCCGTGTGGTATGCTGCCCATGCACTGGCTTCTGGGAGTAGAGGATCTGCATTGCAGGAAGGAGTAAAATGATGTTTCCTTCCATTTCCTAGGTACATAAAGCCCGTCATAAACTACATTTTCCAACAGGATATATCCGGTCTTTGGCTTTTTCCTACATCTCTTTTTGTGCCTTAGGCTTCCGGTGCTCTCAGACTGTGTGATCAGCTTCCCTGGTCAGTGCCTTTCTGAAGCCAGCCCTACCTCTTAAGTATTTCTCTTAGATTGTAACATGTGACTGTTAGATAAAGGGCTATGTCTTCCATGGATGTTTGCATTCTGAAAAGAACATAAATCTGATTCATAATATGCTGGCAGCAGTCAGGTTCAAGGAACACTTCAGGCTTTGCGTACATAAAACTTTGGGTTTTGTGGCTAATTGCCCTGGACATCTGCCCTAGAGCCAGTTCTGGTGAACCTCACTTCACATGGTCTTTTTCTTTCACTTCTAAACCCTCTTTTAAGCTCCAAACGTGTATGTCCAGTAGTACATCTAGATTAATAAATGGAAAGTCAGTTCCTTTTCCCCTAGGAAGTTAGAAGTGGCCCGAGTGAGTGCTCTGCATCGGAGGCTGACCTCCTCACTGCCTCCCTGAAGGCCCTGAGACACAGCAGTATCGGAAGCCTCAGATAAGGGCCTCGGCCCCTGACGAATTTGGTAGACTGCACTCCCCAAAGCAGCTCATCTGTGGTTCCTGCGAGCAGTTGCCATAAATGCATTGGCTAAAGATGAACCACTACGTTCTTCCTTCCCACTTCGTTTCTGATGATGTCCTCCTTCCCTGGCCGCCACTTCCTCCTGTGACCTAACCTTGAATTGTGTTCAATGCAGAATGCCTGGTTTCGGAAATCCCGCTTTAAAGGAGGAAAAGGCAAAAAGCTGAACATTGGTGGAGGCGGTCTCGGCTACAGGGAGCGGCCTGGCCTAGGCTCAGAGAACACGGTGAGCCAGACTGCCAAACTGTAGCTGTGCCCTTTGCACCGCTCCAAGTCCTGGAGGGTGTTACGACGGCCCTCCTCTACCTCAGTGAGTTCAGAACCTGGCCTAGAGAGGAGTGTTGGGACTTTCTCTTAAAGAAGCATCTGTGTGTACTTGGTGACTAGATATGCTCAGGAAATCTTTTCACATCAGTTCCCAGATTTGGTCCTAGAGCAACAGTAAATGCATATTTGTGTCCCATCCTAGACCTGGTGAATCAGAAACTTAACAAGCCAACTAGCACTGGCCTTAGAGTCTGCTGCTGGGAACTCTTAACTCCTGGAGTTAAGAGTTCCTACATTCTGTGGGAAATTGCATCAGAGAGGAGAGGTAGCTTTTCTCACAAAACAGGTAACAAAAGTGCCCCCTTACTGGCTTTTTAACCACCTGTTTCATAACACCTTGATTCGTAAGCCAAAGACTCAAACTGCCAGTCTGTATTTCTGGAGCATTATTGTCAGTTTGGGGTCTCTGATACAGTGTCTCCCCGGCTCAGTAACGGTGATGCGCATGCGCATGACGCAGGTGGTTATGGTAGCTAATGTTGACTTACTGCTGGCAGGCAATCATGCGTGTTAGCCTCATCCGCCAATCCCCTGGGGAGCACAGGTCCGCTGGTCAGGAAACTGAGGCACCCCAGGTTACACTCCAGTAAGTGCTGAAACGGAGACTTGGGCTTTTAAGAGTGGATTCAGAGCCTGGGCCCGTTACGGGCAATATGCATGTGCTCTCTGGTGCCTCGTGGCCTCTTCATGCTGAGCGTGAAGCTTCACAGAATCACGTAAACACACTTGTGTGTGTAAATAAAACCTTATGATCGGCTTTGGCCATAATTTGACTTCAGGGTTAGGGTTAATTCCTAAAAACATAATTACTGGGTTAAAAAGGATAAGTATTTTTTAAAAATTTGATTTCCTTCTTGGACAGAGAAAGAGTGTGTACAAGCAGGGGGAGTGGCAGGGAGAGGGAGAAGCAGGCTTCCCACTGAGCAGGGAGCCCAACGCAGGTCATGAGATCGTGATCTGAGCGAAAGGCAGATGCCCAAACTAGAACCACCAGGCGTCCTAGGATTTTTAAAAAATCATTACTGTACCTTTTCCCATTCGATACAAATATCCTGTTCGCATCGCAGCCCCCACTTCTGTTTCCAGTATATGAGGCCCGTTCTGGCAGTGGGCTCTCCTGCTCATTTTGTCCTGATGGGTGTGCCTTTTTCTTTCTTTCTTTAATTATTTTTTTTTTTTTTTTTAAGGACCGAGGCAACAACAACAACGTGATGAGCAATTACGAGGCCTACAAGCCCTCCACAGGAGCCATGGGAGATCGGCTGACGGCAATGAAAGCAGCTTTCCAGGTCTGAAATTAAGCAGTTAGCTAAAAGAGCTTTGCACAGTGATGAGGGGTCTGGTCTGAGAGGGAGCTGAGCTTGTAGGCTTACTGCTAGACTTAGGACCTTCTCACTGCTTTCAGTTGCGAATGTCCGCTTCGTGTGCCAGGTTACCTGGAGCTGCAGGTGTAGAGGCTGGGCAGTCTGAGGCTCAGGGATGTGAGCTATCCCAGAGCCTGGGACTGTTGTACTGTAGCAGAGCTGGTGTTCCCTCCCTGCCAACAGTGTTGCCCACCTCCAAGGCTCTTGTAATCAGGTTGAGAGTAATTGCCTTTTTTTTTTTTTTAGCTAAGACAAGTTTGATTCTGGAGCTCTTGTGAACGCTGAACCCCTCTATACTTACACCTCTAGTTAGCTAGATAACCGGTTGAGCCTTAGTTTATGCATTTTATCTGGGTTCAGACTGATATTTCAGCTAGGTCCCCTAGATTTATTCTTTCTCATCAATAGAGGAACAGGGTTGTGGGGCCTACAGTACCAGGAGAGCATAGAATTTCTATGTATCTTCTCATTTCCAAGCTTCACGTATCCAAGTTTCTTGAACCTACTGTCTTAGCTATTGTTGTCTCTCTTTTAGTCACAGTACAAGAGTCACTTTGTTGCTGCCAGCTTAAGCAACCAGAAGGCGGGAAGCTCTGCTGCTGGGGCAAGTGGATGGACTAGTGCAGGGAGCTTGAATTCTGTTCCAACTAATTCAGCCCAACAGGGCCATAACAGTCCAGAAAGCTCCATTCCCAGTGCCACCAAGGGTATCCCAGGCTTTGGCAATACTGGGAACCTCAGCAGTGCTCCAGTGACCTACCCTTCTCCTGGAGCACAGGGAGTCAACAGTACAGCTTCAGGGAGTAACAGCCGAGAAGGGCCTGGGGGAGGCAATGGGAAGAGAGAGAGATACACGGAGAACCGGGGTGGCAGCCGTCACGGTCATGGAGAGAGTGGCAATCGGCATGGTGACAGTCCACGTCATGGAGATGGTGGTCGCCATGGAGACGGATACCGCTACCCAGAAAGCAGCAGCAGCAGCAGCAGCAGCAGCAGCCGTCATGCTGATGGTCACCGTCACGGGGAGAACAGGCATGGAGGAGGTGGCAGTCGACACGGAGAGAGCCGAGGTGCGGGAGAGAGCCGAGGTGCAAACGATGGTCGGAATGGTGAAAGCAGGAAAGAGGCTTGTAACCGTGAGAGTAAGGTGGACCCCAAGGTGGACAGCAAGATGGACAAGGTGGACAGCAAGACAGATAAGACAGCTGATGGTTTTGCTGTCCCCGAGCCACCCAAGCGCAAGAAAAGTCGATGGGACAGTTAGAGGGTATGTGCCACAGTGTGAAATCAGTTGTCTTTAATTTTATTTTTAGAAAGATTTTTGGTAACTAGGTGTCTCAGGGCTGGGTTGGGGCCCAAGGTATAAGGACCCCCTGCCCTTAGTGGATTAGCTAGCTGGAGCTTGGAGACATGACCCCTTCATCTGGATCAGTTTTCAGATGTCTTGGGAAGCTGCTTTGGTCCTTGGAAGCAGCGAGAGTTGGGAACCTTCTGTTGGGCTCTGGGTGAGTTGTGAAGGTCAATTGAGGATACCCTGAAAGAAAAGGCCTTCTAGGGCACAAAACTCACTCTAGGTTTATATTATATGTAGCGTTATATTTTTTACTAAAATGTCACCTTATAAACATCTACAAGTAAGATTTCTTTTCTTAGCCGTGTGGCCAGGCAGTCCGCTTTTTAGGAGTTGGCTTTCTGCAAACCCAACCCACTGAAGCGTTTGTTAGAGATTTGGGGAAGCATTTTCGTGCTTCCAGACTTTGCAGGGAAGGGAGATGTCTAAGTGGGAGTCCGTGCTCAGGTTTCCCAGCCAGGTTTGTATCCAGTCCTGAGACAGGAAGCAGCAGCCTGCCAGACCCAGAGAGCCTCTACCCTCAAAGAGGAAGATGATCCTGGAAACAAGACTGCTCCAGGTCTGGTGTTACTAAATTGAAAAAAACAAACAAACAAAAACTCAACAGCTTTTAAAGTGTCTTCTATTTCATTGTATTTTTTTTTTTAACTTGCCACAATGGTAGAAAAATCTTTTGCTGAAATGATTTTGATGATTTTTTTGTTCTATCTATCTTGTTTATAAAAGGAAAAGAAATATACATACTTCGAATTTTGTGACTTTGTGAAGGTTTCTTTAAGATGTGCATTCCTTTCTGCTTGCTCTAGTAAATGTTTTACTACTGGGACCTGTGGATTGTTTGTCATTTCTACTTCACAGTGAGTATATACTATGATTTTTAACAGTGCATGGTGCAAACACCCAGCTGTCTTGAGTTAGCGCTTAATGGGAATTGGGAACTAAAAGAAAATATACTACCCTGGTTTTATTCAGATAACAGAAGAGGATGGGGAAGGCCTGAGAGGCCAGCTTGCCCAGAAAGAGTGACTGCCACTCCCAACACCGACCTTCCCCTCAGGAGACTGTTCATCTAGTCTGAGAGCTTGGGGCCGGTGGGGGGTGCCAACAGCAGCATCAACAGGACATGGCCCAAGACCTTCCTTCAGGCAGGGGAACATCTTCCCTCACCCCACAGGACCACCGCGAGAGTTCTAGGCACCCCACCTGTCTTCCCAGCAGACTCCGACACAAGGAAGCCTATAGCTGGTACCAGGGGGGCTGCAATCACACCTCCGTGTCCTCACACTGTCTTCTCAGGGGTCCTGGTGGCTCTGCTCACTTCCGTCTGTGTTTTTTCTTCTGCTCTTTCCTTTGCTGTGCTCTTTGGTCCTTCTTCATCCTTGAGTCCACCACCTTGAAGTGGCCTCGGACCCCAGCTGGCCGGCGCACTTTGCGGCCCACGCCTTTTTTGGCTACCACATAGGTGACTTGGCGTTTCTCCTTGCCGAGCCCGGCCTTCTTGTAGAGACTGTGAATGGAAGAAACAGTCAGAGGCTCCCAGCCACCCTTTTTAGCCCCGTGTACCTTTGTGGGTGACCCCTCTCTCCTTTATACCTCCGAAGCTGAGCCACTTTCTCGCGTTCTGAGATGTCCACGGTGTTCACCACAGCCTCTGCCGCCTTCTTGGTTTGCTCCAGCTTCTTCAGCATCTGGGGCGGGGCGGGGGGCGGGGTGCTCGGTCAGGCAGACTCCTCCCCACTCCCGCCCCGGCACTCGAGCAGCAGGCAGCCCCACTCTTTACCCTCCGTTTCTTTCTGGCCTTAGCCTCGGCTACTTTCTTGATGGGCCGTGCGTTGATCTCCCTCCAGCGTCTGCGGTAGTGTTCCACCTCCTTCTTGTCAACAGGCAGCTGCCGGAACCTGTGCTGCTTTTCCTCTTGCACAAACCACTCAGGAAGCTCCCCCTCCTCCTCATTAAATGCGTACCTAGATAGAGAGGACAGCGGCCCTGAAATCACGCCCCTGACTCAGCCCCCTCCAGGGCCGCCTGTCGGGATTTCCTGGCCCCCTTACCGGCTGAAGGAGTCATCTATGAGATCCCGCTTAGCCTTTTTGGAAGAGGCAATGAGAGCACCTAGGGCCAGGCCTTCAGGGTCTAGTACCTGATGTTTCGCTAGGGAGGAAAGGGGAAAGTCAAAGCTCCATTCCAACCCAGACTTCCGCCGTCCCCTCCTATTTCCTAAGGTACTGAGCTAACCTGGGTCCTCGATAGGCACAATTTCAAACCCGTCGTCATCGGACTTAGACCCGCAGCTTCGCTTCTTCCTGCGCTTGGGTTCCCAACTGCAGAAGGGGGATGACCATGTCACTGTGCCGCCAGTCCCCAGCCCCACTCCTGCCTCACGGCAACCCCGCTTCCTACTGCATACTTGAGAAACTTCCTGAAAGGCCCCCAGGCTATACTACAGACCACTTAATTCAAGATCATCACTATTTTCTTAAAAGTATCTACAACCAAGGACGGAAACCCTGAACACGGAGAGAGGGTCAGAACAGCTGCAGCCACTCGCCTTTCTTCATCGCTGCTGCTGTCGCTGTCACTGTCCGAGCTGCCATCCCCTTCCTTGCCGGGCCCAGGGGCCGTCTTGGCTGCCGCTAGAGCCTCTGGCCCCTTAGGGTTTTCCTCCTGGTCCTGGGGAGGTTTCTTCTCGGTCTTCAGACTGGGAAGTGGTGGTGGCCCCTGCTGTCGCCCCTTCCGACGGCTCTCAGACAGTAGCTGGGCCTGCCGGATCTCCAGCGCCTCGTCAGCATCATCCTCGATCCCACTGAAGCCATCCTGGGAGAGGGGAAGACTCAGCCACCGGTCTCCTACGAATTCCTTGTCTGTCTGGGCCCCCAAACCTCTTCCTACCTTAGAGAACCACAGACTGGCTTGTTCTTCCTGCGCTACCGTCTTTTCCTCCAGCGGTATCAGCAGTGGATTCTCTTCTTCTTCCTCTTCTTTTTTGTCATCTTCTACTTCAGCAAATCGTACACTGTAGACCCAAGGACGGTGGGTGGGGGCGGGGGGACTTGCTCTCCAACTCCCTCTGGCGACCCCTGTGCCCAGCTCTGCCTCAGGGCTCACGCGGAAGGCGTCAAGGCCTCTGCTTGCACAGACCCCCCACTTACCGCTTTTGGTCCTTTAGATGCTGAGATCCTCCAACTCCAGCCAACTCCTCTGGATCCAGGTCACTCTCCAGAGATGCGTCGTCGTCGTCGTCCTCAACATCGGACACGTAGATGTCATCTCTTGGCAGATCGGACAGAAATGTGTCTGCAGCACTCATATCCCCTTGTGTGACCGCCTCCAACAGCTGGCATTTGACAGCGAAAGAGGTCAAGGGTTCTCAGGAGGCATATACCACTTTTTCCCCTGTATCTGTTATCTTAGCAACGTTTGAAAATACACTGGCAAATACAGACAGGGACGTGATGGGCTAAGTGCATGAAACATCCATTCAGGGCGCCTGGGTGGCTCGGTTAAGTGTCTGCCTTCGGCTCAGGTCATGATTCCAGGGTCCTGGGATCAAGCCCCCCCATCAGGCTCCCTGCTCAGTGGGAAGTCTGCTTCTCCCTCTGCTCCCCCTGCTGTGCTGACAAAAACTTAAAAATAAAACATCCCGGGATGCCTGGGTGGCTCTGCCTTCGGCTCAGGTCATGATCCCAAAGTCCTAGGATCAAGTCCCACATCGGGCTCCTTGCTTGGCGGGGAACCTGTTTCTTTCCTTGCCTCTGCCTGCCTCCCTGCCTGCTTGTGTGTAATCTCTCTCTCTGGCAAATAAATAAATAATTTTTTAAAAAAATTAAAAAAAAAAAAATCCCACTCTAGGGGTACCGTTGGCTTAGCTGGCGGGGTCCGACTCTTGGTGTTCGCTCAGGTCATGATCTTAGGGATTGTGAGGTCAGGCCCCACATCGGGCTCCTTGCCAGAGGGGAGTCTGCTTGAGAGTCTGCCCTCCCCCCACTGTGGGGTGCACATGTGCTCACTCTCTAAAATGTTTTTTTTTTTTAAAGATTGATTTTACAAAGTGAGCGCACACAAGCACAAGCACAAGGGGAGCAAGAGGGAGAGGCAGGCTCCCCGCGGAGCAGGGAGCCCAGTACAGGGCTTGATCGCAGGAATCTGGGATCATGACTCAAGCCAAAGGCAGAGGCTTAACTGACTAAGCCACTCAGGCGCCCCTTTAGGAAGAAATCTTCCCAAAAAGTCCATTCAAAGCCAGGTCACTGACCTAGCTCACTTGGCTGTCTTCTCTCCAGTGGTAGCAGAATAGGCTTAGAGATAAACACCTCAAGCCTGTATACTGTCCAGTCTTAAAATAGTCTAAAACATTGGTTTTTTTTAAAAAATTACTCTCAGGAAGCACATGATGAGAGAAAACAACAACAAAAAAATCACCTGAGAATAAAGGACCTATAAATGTTGTTTCCACTGAATATAGGAATCCAGGCGATACACATCGAACAATTATTTCACTTAAAAACTATCAGCCTCAAAATTTACTTCCTCATAACAGCTACCTAGTAGTTCTTCAGAGTTCACCACATTACGAAGGATTACACCTAAACCCTCTTTTTAAAAATTCCTCCCCAAAACTCTATAGTCAGTAGGTTCTATCATTCTCTACACACGAGAAAACTAAGGCAAAGAATGACCCAAGTGGTCTACTGCAGAACCACTACGCTCTCTTTGCTGTTCTCCTAACAAAGAGTACCCGGTTTCCCATTCCCGCCGGAGGCTCAGAAGTTCATTTTGCTTGTTGATGCTGCTTTAATCAGGAGCAGCAGCCTATAGCAGCAAGGGGCTAACCTGGTCTCGGGGAACCTGGTCCCACTGAGCCCTCCTCTGAGGAAAACCCTCCATCACACATCCCGGCATCCCCGGGACCCTGGTGGCTGCATCCGCTAGAACCCACGCTTCCTGCAGAGAGGGCCTCTTGGTTCTAATGTTCTAGCTTCCACAACAATACATCCACAGCACACTCCTAAATATTCCTCATCTCATTGTTTCAGGTGTGTGTTTCTTCCTGGCCTTTCAGGCACAAAACTCAGGTTTATTCTGCCCAGTCTCCTCTCACTGGAAGAGTCACCCTTCACAGATGAACACAGGAACTACAAGCTGTAAACACTCAGCACACTTCAAAAAAAAATCCGGGGCGCCTGGGTGGCTCAGTGGGTTAAGGCTCTGCCTCCGGCTCAGGTCACGATCTCAGGGTCCTGGGATCGAGCCCCGCATCGGGCTCCCTGCTCAGCGGGAAGCCTGCTTCCCCAGCCCACCCCACCCCCACCTGCTGCTCTGCCTACTTGTGATCTCTGTCAAATAAAAAAAAAAAAAATCCAATGCAACACCCCCCGCCCCATCCTCATAGCAAGCAGGCGGTCCTGTCTCCTCGATCTGCCCTCAGCCCGCCTCACCTGGTGACCCCGGATGGTGCGCAGGGAGAACATGCCAGTCTCCCCCTCATCCGCAATAGAAACCCCGGGAAGATCCATCTTCAGCTCCACACGCTCCCGCTGTTTTCTCTGCTCACGCAGCAGCTTCTTTTTCTTCCTGAGCGGACAATTTGAGGAATTCAACCTGCCCTAGCTCTCAGGATTCCCCATCTGTGCCTCCATCCTCTTCCCGCATCTTCACACCCTGAGGAACTCTGTGGTGGGGGTTCCCGTTCCCCGAGCTCTTCCCCGCTCCTCTCACCTCTTTAATTCTGCCACCTCCTGCGCCTTCATCTCCGCCAGGGTCTGGTTTAATTGTTCCTCCTCTTCGTCCTCCTTAGAGAGCGGCTGCCCAGTTCCAGCCTTGGACTCCTCCTCACCCTCCTCCTCCTCTCCGGAACTGAGGCTGACAGAACAGCACCGGCAGTTTGGTTCTTTCCTCACACACGCCGCCGACCCCAGCCGACCCCCACCCTGCGCGGATTCCCGGCGCACCTGATGTCCAGGGCCTTCGCTTGCTCCTTCAGCTTCTTAGCCACGTATCGCCGAAGCTTTGTTCTCCAGTTCAGGAGGGACCTGCCCCAGAAATACCATGACTGACCCTGACGCTTCCCTCTTTGCCCCGTCCCCTTTATAGGCCCCCCTCCCAAATCTCTAACACAAGCGCATCCTGTTCCCCAATATCCAGCGCTGGGTGAATTCCTCACATCGTCTCCTCAGGAAGAAAAATGCTGCTGTGTCTTCAAAGGCCCTTCCCTGCCTTGGGGGCTCCGGGCACCTGTGCTCACCCCATGGCATACCTGAGCTCCTTGCGCCCCAGCACTTTGATATCCTGACAACACGCCTGGATGTCCTCGGTGGTAGCTGGATGCTGGGCCAAGTCTTCATCATCCAGTGAGATCTGTTTGGGTGAAAGGAAAGGAGTCGGGATTATTTCAGGGACATGTTTCTGGAGCTTCCCTGCACCCCTCCAATCTGAGGACTCACTTCGCTGGCTTTGGAGAGGAAGTCAACAGGGTTGGCAGCCCGGAGGAAGTCAGCGACTGAAGTACGGTGGTAGAGTGTGAGATCGCCCTCAGCATAACCCTCAGCCTTAGGGAGGGAAAGAAGGAAGGTTGAGAAGTCCTTTCTTAAGGTGTGTGCAGGATGCACCAGGCCCAAGTTCCCCTGAACTCCAAGACCTGAGAGTGGCCCCATTCCCCAAACACACCTTTGGCTTCTTCTTAGTCACCAACTCGGTAACAGTCTTGGCCTGAACTTCGACCTCCTTGAAGGCAAACTTGGGGTCAAAGAATTTACTGTCAACCTTGTCAGGAGCCAGGAATCCTAAGATGATAGGGTGTATAAGTAAGAATGCTTTTGGGGCACCTGGGTGGCTCAGTGGGTTAAGCATCTGCCTTCGACTCAGGTCACGATCTCAGGGTCCTGGGATCGAGCCCTGCGTCGGGCTCTCTGCTCAGCGGGAAGCCTGCTTACCCCTCTCTGCCTACTTGTGATCTCTGTCAAATAAATAAAATCTTAAAAAAAAAAAAAAAAGGAAAGTATGCTTTGGTGTCTAAGAAACCAACTCATGAGAAAGAAAAAGTGATGCCCACCTTGGCAAACAACAAAGATCTCTGCAGATTCATGTCGAGAGGCTTGGGGCTTAGTGGCCTGGACACGGCGGAAGAGTTGCTGAAAGATCCACAGTAGAGGCTGATAGTCACGGGAACGAAAAACCTTTGTGATGAAGCAGCCTCCACGGGCCAGAAAATCACAAGCCAAACGCAGAGCCATCAGTGTCAAATGGGCTGTGGGAGGGAGACAATTAGTTTGAGAACCTCTGCAGCCCGAGTGGCAAGCGCACATCCACCCTCCTCTCCATGCCCCCCACTCTCAGCACCTTGTGAGTAAGCATCATGGACCCAGCTAGCCCCAACGTTGGGGGCCCCATCATTGAGCACGACATCAACTTTCCAGGTCTTCAGTTCCTTTCTCAGGGCCTATACGGAAAAAAAACAACCACAGCAACAGCTATCGTTCAGCCATTTGTCCACGTGGGCATTTGCTCAATGCCCACCGCAGGCCAAATCCTGTGCCAGGCACTGGATGCAACAATTGAAAAACAACAACTCACGTCTGTCTTCACGGAGCTTACAGTCTATTAGTGAGCCCTTTCCTATTGAAAAAAATTTCAACAATATCTCTGCACTTATTCCAATTCCAAACACCTTATTACCGATTAAATAAAGCCTGCACTGGAGCCTAAGGGTGTCATGGGCCTTGTCATACAGACGATGCAGGCACTGCTCAAGGCGTGTTAAACTGAAAAAGCTTGCCTCCAGAGCATTTGGTGAGAGGGAGAGACATGAGTGTCTGCATATAAAGCAGACGGGAAAAGAGATTCCTATTACCTGCCTACAGCGTTCTGTCGTGATGTCCTCCTGGAGTGTCACCACATTGGGAAGAGGCTTGATTGGAACCAGGTCCACTCCTGGAAGAAATCAGGTCAGAGAGTTCCAAAAGGCTGCCTCAAGCAAGGAAAAAGGAAATGTAGAACGCAATTAGTACCTCACTCTCCCAACCCCTTCACAGTCAGGGAGGGCCCACCTGTTACTCACCTACAATAAGGCTGGATACAGGCATAAACTTAGCAGCCACCTGCAACCTATAAGAAAGTAATACCAGTTAAAGTAATCCAGGACTGTTGTCCCCCTCCGTTGGCAATATGCTCTCTCACCATCCGTATTAAGAACCGCTACCAAGTGCAGTGGCTGGAGCATATAATGTACAAGTTTCAGACCTTTTTTCTGAGACCTACCTCTAGGGAGAAATTTGAGACTGGTATTACTGTATCCCACCCTCCCTCCCCCAAAGCAACCCTCAGTCATCCAACGCCGGAACCCAGAAAGCAGCCATGAAGAGCCACAGGTGCCGGGTGTTACCCACCATCCCCCTGGCGCAGCACACAGGTCCAGCAAGGCTCGAGCTTTCTGCAGGAACTGAAAGCGGCGATTCAACTGGATCAGCTTGAAAGCGGAACGGGAGCGGTAACCTGGGGGCACCCGACAAAATGTTAAACTCGGTGGGGCGCTTTCCCAGGGTGATTTATGCAGCTTCACAACCCACCACCCCTTCTGGGGAACAGGAACTCAATATTTGGGAAGGGGGGAGAGAATCGAAAAGGTCACTCGTTCGCTCGCAGACGGCGAGGACACTAACTCACCGGTCTCCTTCGCCAGGTGATAGAACTTGTCCCGCCGGCTCTTCCCGACCTTGCCCTTCTTGCCCATGGTGAAACGGGGGGAGTGTCACTCGGTCTGGGGACAGAGTAAAAACTGGGACGTCTCGTTCCGGACCTTCTGGACCACTAAATTCCGCTCTCCGTTCCCTACCTAACTCTGCAAACACCGTGAACCAGGGCCCTTTTCACCACTCTGGCAGAAGCACATGTGGACAGCACACGTACGTCCGCTTCCACTTGCGTCCCCGCCTCCACGTTTCCGCCATTTTGAGTGTGGCCGCAAATTCTTGACTATACTCTCAAGTATTGGAAGTTGGAAGGTGGGACAAGGTGAGCAGGTTACCTGAACTAAAACCGAGTTCCTAGAGAGCAACATTTAGTAGTTCTGTGGTCTTTTCACCCCTTTCCAAGCTACTGACCTCGCGTAGCCACCTTCCTATCATGGCCTCTGTTTTTGTAATTGTCTCGACGCACACCCCTCCCATTGACCCGGAATTCTTCTCTTCTAGGGTCGCCGGACTCCAAGCCCCTGCTTTTGCGCCTGCGCGCCAAAGCGCCTCGGATGCCGGCGGTCTCCGTGAGAGAGGAAAGATGGCGCTTGACGGACCGGAGCAGGTATGGCGGCTGCAGCGGCCGGGCGGGGATGGGGGCTCGATGCGAAGCAGGCGTGATCTGAGGTGGCCCGCCGGCCGGGGCAGCAGGGTCGGGTGGGTTGGATGGGTCGGGGGTGGGTTGGATGGGTCGGGGGTGGGTGGGCCCATCCAGACTGGGCCGTGCCTGGGACCGGATCTGCTGTGTCAGCGCCGCCCCCGGCGGGTCAGAGCAGGGCCGGGAGAAGAAGACCCTGTGGAAGCGGAGGGAGTGAGGGGAACGATGGGGACGGGAACCGGCTCGTCCGCGAGTCGCAGGACGTAGGGCCCTGTTCCTCCAGGTGGCTCCACCTCTAGCAAGGGTACCTCGGGTTTTTATAGCGCTTGAATCGCTACAAAGCGCTCCCGTGTATTGTTGTCTCTTGATTCTCCTGGAAGTCTTAGGAGGTAGGCGGCATTCTCATTCTGCTTTTAGTTTAGTCACGGGGAAGTGGAGTTAGTTAGAGATGGACTGAGGTATTCGTACCCAGATCATTCCTCTAAAGCCCAAGCTGCAAGTGGGTTTTTCCCTTGAAAATTTGTTGGCCTGTTTTATAATTACACTGTGTTTTCAGATGGAGCTGGAAGAGGGGAAGGCAGGCAGTGGACTCCGCCAGTATTACCTGTCCAAGATTGAAGAACTCCAGGTGAGGACGGACTCGATGTCCACAGGTAGCTAGACGAGGGATGGATTGATGGAGTGTGTTTCTATAAATCCATTTAGTTCCACTGGGGGGCGCAATAAAAGAAGTAACTGGTAGCTATAGGAAGTATATGAAGTTAAGTCTCTTGTTTTTCTCAGCTCCCACCCCTTTGAAGGTAAAAAGTCTTCGAAGTTTATTAGACATCGTGAAAACTTTAAGTTTTAACCTAAAAGGTACTCTTAGCCAAATTCCGTCTAGAAGTAGTCTGAATGTGAGAGTTGGTTTTGTAAGGGAACACGAAGGTTCTCTTGAGATTTAGCCCGCTTCGGTTGGGGCAGGGTGAGAGTGGGAGGGAGACAGAACTGCCCAATCTGTATAATGCTGATTTCTTGGGACTTAGTGAAAAGGAATTGGGCAGCGCAGTGCTCCAGCCTAAAGAGGGAGCAGGGACTCTAGCAATAAGGAAAATACATACATTGGAGGAAGGAAAGTCACAAGGGCAATTTCTAAACTCCTGGTACATTTGCAGCTATCATATGAGGTTTATCATTTTTTGAGTGCTCTTACATGTGGTGTTATTTGTCCTCCACAGTAGTCCAGAAAAGAGGCAGGGCAGGTAATGCTATATTTGCTTACAGTTTGGTAACAGATCTTGACGTTTTAAGTGGCTTCCCTTAGTTTTACTTACCTGTTAATTTGGCAACAGTGGAATTAGAACTTAGGCTTTGGACTCAGTGATCTTCCCCGTCTACCATGTCATTGCCTCACAAGAAATTGACTACGTGAGGCAGCTTAAGTTTTCTCTGTTAAGGCTTATTATTCCTGGAGCAGTGTGTTAGGACAGCTAGCCTTTTTTGATGGCTGCCCTAGGCCCCAAAGAGACTCTTGGAAGTAAGGACAGAGTCCTTAGGATCCTACTGGACAATCTGGAACGTGCAGGTGCCCTGTGCTCTTGTCACTCAGCTCATACCAGCCTGTGAGGATCTTGGCCAAGAGCTTAACCTCCTAGTGTTTTCTGCTCTGTTTCTTGTTCTCCATAGCTGATTGTAAATGATAAGAGCCAAAATCTCCGGAGGCTGCAGGCACAGAGGAATGAGCTTAATGCAAAAGGTGAGGAGGGAAAGATGGGAAGGCTGCATTTGGACAGTCTGTCCGAGGTCTGACTGTTCGAATCTCCCTAAACTGAGCCTTCACGTTCGGTGCTTATTTTTCATGGAGTCTGAGGCTATGCTTTGCACTGTTACTTGGCTGTTCACATGCATGCCTCTCCCGAGCTACATTGTAATCCCTTTAGAGACTTAAATTTTGACCTTATTTTGTGTTCTTCTAAAACTTCAGAACAGTGCTTCATTCATGCCTGTTGAATTGAGTCGTAGGAGAGGGGACATCAGAGAAGCTGGGTGACCATTATGTCTGTTTCCCATCCAGTTCGCTTACTGCGGGAAGAGCTCCAGCTGCTGCAGGAACAGGGCTCCTACGTGGGGGAAGTAGTCCGGGCCATGGATAAGAAAAAAGTGTTGGTTAAGGTAAAGGCACCATGGCCTCCAGGGAGCAGCCCAATGCCCTGTGCATTCTCATGCTTCTGGGTGTAGTCTTGCCAGGACACTGTTTTGTTATTTTAGGCTCATGGGTCTTCCTGGGCAAGGTGGATGGTTCGGTGACTGTCAGGAAAGGTCATGAGCCCTCGTTTCTTTAGGTGCATCCAGAAGGCAAGTTTGTTGTAGATGTGGACAAGAACATCGACATCAATGACGTGAGTGCAGCAGGTGAGGTGGGAGGCTGGGCTCAGCTCTTGCCACATCACTTCCTGAAACTCTCCCCTTGCCCAGGTGACACCCAATTGCCGCGTGGCTCTAAGAAACGACAGCTACACTCTGCACAAGATCTTGCCCAACAAGGTGGACCCACTGGTGTCACTGATGATGGTGGAAAAGGTGCCAGATTCAACCTATGAGATGATCGGTGGACTGGACAAGCAGATTAAGGAGATCAAAGAAGTGATCGAGCTGCCTGTCAAGCATCCTGAGCTCTTTGAAGCGCTGGGCATTGCGCAGCCCAAGGTGAGAAGCGAGAGTTGTGTGGAAGGGTCACGCTGTTACTGGCACATCCTGCCCCAGGGGCGGTGTCACTCCCCTGTAAGGAGACCCCACTTGCGCTGGCCCTCCCCAGGGAAGAGGGGCTCGGAGGAGTGCTGCCAGGGTACTGCAGTAGCTCAGAGAAAAGCACTAGGAAGGACCTCGACATTCATTTTTTTATACCTGTGGCATCAAGCACAGGGTATAGCCCAGAGTGAACACTTGATACATGTTCCCTAGTGTAATGGGACTGGCTTCTGCTCTGAGTCCTGCTATTTCTCTCTAGGGGGTGCTGCTGTATGGACCCCCAGGCACTGGGAAGACACTGTTGGCCCGGGCTGTGGCTCATCATACAGACTGCACCTTTATTCGCGTTTCTGGCTCTGAATTGGTACAGAAATTCATTGGGGAAGGTAACTATGGGCAGAAACATGAAAACCAAGCAGAAGTAAGGGGGTGGAGGTGAGGGTAGGGAGCTCATTGCCTCCGTAATGCCAGCTTGGCCTCTGCACAGGGGCAAGGATGGTGAGGGAGCTGTTTGTCATGGCGCGAGAACATGCTCCGTCTATCATCTTCATGGACGAAATTGACTCCATTGGCTCCTCACGGCTAGAGGGGGGTTCTGGAGGGGACAGTGAGGTGCAGCGGACGATGCTGGAGCTGCTCAACCAGCTCGATGGCTTTGAGGCCACCAAGAATATCAAGGTAAGGTGGCGTCCAAGGGAAGGCCCTGGGCAAGGTGCAGCCTGAGGAAAGGCTTAGCTAATGCCGCCACCACCCCCTTTCTCCACTCAGGTTATCATGGCCACGAATAGGATTGACATCCTGGACTCCGCTCTGCTTCGCCCTGGGCGCATCGACAGAAAAATTGAATTCCCACCCCCCAATGAGGAGGTCTGTGAGGGGCAGAGCTGGAAGTGGCTCTGGCTGTGGGGGTAGGCTGCAGGGCTCAGGCTTTCCCTCTCTCCCCCTTCTCTAGGCCCGGCTGGACATCTTAAAGATTCATTCTCGGAAAATGAACCTGACCCGGGGGATCAACCTGCGGAAAATCGCTGAGCTCATGCCTGGAGCATCAGGGGCTGAAGTGAAGGTAACCAGAGGGCCCAAGGAAAGGGGGGCTAAGGCAGAAAGCTGTGGCTTCTGGGATACAGCAGCAGTGTCTGGCTTCCCTTCTTTGCTCAGGGTGTGTGCACCGAAGCCGGCATGTACGCCTTGCGGGAGCGGCGGGTCCACGTCACCCAGGAGGACTTCGAGATGGCTGTCGCCAAGGTAGAGGCCTCCCGTCTCTCTACCCTTGCAGATGGGGTTTTGAGCAGGGGGGCCAGAGCATGTGTTCATTATTCCATTTATAACTGAATGCTTTCTCTCTCCAGGTCATGCAGAAGGACAGTGAGAAAAATATGTCTATCAAGAAGCTGTGGAAGTGAGGTGCTTGTTTTCTCTGTGGATCCCTCAAATAAAGCTCTGCAGGACAAGCCCTTAAGGACTTTAGTCTGTTACTGAGTGGCCACACTGTTGAATGACCAGGTCCGGGTACCACCAATAAACAAGGATTTATTTGGAAATTTCCAAACCTGCCAGAAGTGGCACTTGCCAAGCCCTGGGGTCCACCCTTCTACCAAGCTCTGAAGGGCAGCAACAGTCCTTCCCACCTGCCCCCTCACATCCCCCCCCGCCCTCCACCAAGCACGCACACCCGTACCTCAGGCCATGCCAGAGAACTGGAGCCCCCTCCGAGGTGGCTCTACCACCCTGGGCTCAAGAGCTGGGCTGGCAGGCCTCTGGCGTCTGAGGAGATGATGGCGGCCAGAGCCGCTTGCATAGATTGAGGAAAAACAGAAGGAGGCACCAAACAGGGCTCCCTGAAAACCCCAACTTACCCCTG